AGCATCGTCATGTTCTAGAACTCACTCGGGCACTGTTAATTCACTGACAAGTCCCGTCCGGATTCTGGGTAGAGGCTGTGCATACAGTTGTCTATCTAATAAATAGACAAATTACTTCGACTCTTCATCAACGCAGCCCATATCAAGCTCTTTATGCTCGTCCTGCAAATTATGACTGGCTGCGGGTGTTTGGCTGTGTATGTTATGTTCTTGTACCTCGTCGGGAGCGAACTAAACTCACTCCCAAGGCCGTCAAGTGTGTGTTTATCGGCTATAGTGATAAACACAAAGGCTATGTTTGCTATGATGAGGCAAAGAAACGGATCAGAATTTCGTGTCACGTCAAGTTTCTCGAACATCTATCCTATTATGGCTCCTCCACGACCTCAAGTACCGCGTCAGACTTGGAATTTTTGGCGGATGCATGGCCGCTTGCTGAAGCGGGGCCTGCTGTTCCTCCCCCTGATCATGATGACCCTGAGACGGCTGGCTCTCCTTTGCTTTCTGGCAGCTCTTCATCCTCATCTCCCTCCACTGATCAGCTGACTCCCTCCACAAGTTCGTGACCGTCCAGCCCGTCTCACCATAATTCGAGCTCCTCCACTGGTTCCTCATCCGCTTCAGTTTCGTCATCTTTATCCCCCATTTCTTTTGAGCTGGATGATAATGCCGAGGTGCAGGAGTTGCGCCGTTCGACGCGTGTTACTCGAGGTCAGCCGCCCATTCGCTACTCGGATTTTGTTGCTTTTGCTACGCCTACAATTTCTGTTCCCGCTACATATAAGCAAGCTCGTGGCATTGCATGTTGGGAGGCAGCCATGGAAGTGGAAAAAGAGGCTCTTGAGGCCATGCATACGTGGGATTTGGTGAAACGTACCCCGGACATGTCTGTTATTGGCAGTAAGTGGGTTTACTCTATCAAGATGCTTCCCGAGGGTATCATTGAAAGACATAAAGCAAGGGTTGTGGCTCAGGGGTTTCGACAGGAATATGGCGTTGACTACGCGGAAACTTTTGCTCCGGTGGCCAAAATGCAGACCGTACGGAGTCTTTTGGCGGTTGCTGCTATGAAGCAGTGGCCGTTACTTCAGTTGGACGTGAAGAATGCGTTTTTGCATGGGGACTTGAAGGAGACTATCTACATGGAACGTCCGCCAGGTTATACACGAGGTGACAGTTCGATGGTTTGTCGTTTACGTCGCTCCTTATATGGATTAAAGCAGGCTCCTCGTGCCTGGTTCGAGAAGTTTCATGCGACTATTTTGCAGGCTGGCCTGGTGCAGAGTGACAATGATCCATCACTTTTTCTTCGGTCTACTAGTCGTGGCCTGACGGTGCTCTTGATCTACGTGGACGATATGGTGGTGACTGGGGATGATCGTACTGGCATTGATGACTTGCTTCTTACTCTTCGATCGGCTTTCAACCTCAAAGAACTCGGTGATCTTTCTTATTTTTTGGGGTTGGAGATTCATCGTACTTCTGTAGGGATACATGTTGGTCAAAAGAAATATATCGTCGACTTACTTGAAGAAGCTCAGATGGATGAGTGCATTGCTTGTAACACACCCATGGAGCAAAATCTTAAGCTGCGGCAGTTAGATGGGGAGTTACTCCCTAATGGTTCTCTATATCAGAGTATTGTGGGGAGTCTGATATATCTGACTCATACTCGTCCTGACATTTCCTATGCAGTACAGATTGTGAGTCAGTTTATGTCAGCTCCACACACCTCTCACTGGCTGGCCGTTCAGCGGATCTTGAGGTATTTGAGGGGGACACAGGAGGTCGGCTTGCTCTTCCCAACTCGAGGTGACTTCATTTTAGAGGCCTACTCCGATGCAGATTATGCAGGCTGTCAGGACACACGCTGATCTACCTCCGGTTGGTGTGTGAAGCTCGGTAACTCCTTTATATCCTGGCGGTGTAAGAAACAGGATAGAGTGTCCAAGTCGTCCACTGAGGCAGAATATCGGTCTATGAGTGAAGTAGCCTCTGAGATCGTCTGGCTGCGACGGTTGTTAAGGGAGCTCGGGGTGCCTTGTCCAGTCCCGATTCGTCTGCATGTTGACAATATGAGTGCTATACGTATTGCCACTAATCCAGTGCTACATGACAGGACGAAGCATATTGAAGTTCACATTCATTATGTTCGCCAACTTGTGAGTGAAGGGACTCTGGAGCTTGTTTACATTACTACTGAGGAGCAACCCGCTGACCTGTTGACTAAGGCAATGTCTACTACACGTCATTGGTTTCTAGCACACAAATTGATGTTGCGGCAACACCATCAATTTGAGGGAGGGTGTTAGAAGTCTGGGTACCTGTTTGTAATTGTGTATATTAATGACGTGAGAAGGGTTAGGGTTCTCGGTCGGCCTAGTATATATTCTTGTGTTGATGGCCGACCTCTGTAACTTTGACGGTGAATAAGATACATCTCCGCCTTGTGACGTGGACTAGTCTTGACGATACTCGTAAAGGAAACCACGTAAATCACGTGTTCTCGATCGTTCATATTTGTGTTTATGATTATTATCATTTTCTTCCTAACAAATTTTCTAGCATTGTTATGTTTATGAAAATTTTGTTGGTAGATGGGTTTTCGTGATGCAATTCGATGGTGTCTTGATCGACAATGGACGTCGGTGGTCTTTGTAAGAGATGCAAAGATGGTTATTGATAAAATCATGAATGAACAGTTAGTATGTTTTTGTGGTGGTACGGCTCTGGAGGAAATCATGATTTTGCTTGATACTTTTGGACGTTTTAGTGCTCGCTTTGTAGGCCGAAATTATAATTACTCATGGTGGTACAAAAAGTTTTTTTTTTGTTTTCTTCTTTAGTAGGGCTCGATTTTGTTTCTTGGTTGTCTTGGATCATATTGTTAGCGAACTAACCACTTGGTCCCAATAACTCGAGTTGTTGGGAAAGGGATAGTTAAGCCTTTTAACCTCTAATACGCCCCCTCAAACGAAAGCCGATGCCGAATTGTGGATTTTTACAGTTTGCACAGGTTGAACCCTTGTGCTGCCAAACCACGAGGCTTTAGTTTGCACAGGTTGGACATACCATTCCTTGTACTAAACGAATTGGCATGAAATGGGGGTAGTTATGAGGATTCGAAACCATGACCTTTCGGTTCTAGACTCTGATACAATGTTAGCAAACTAATCACTTGGTCTCAATAACTCGAGTTGTTTGGAAATGGATAGTTAATCCCTTTTAACCTCTAATACATATGATCTTTTGTATGATTGTATCTGTTGGAAAGGAAGCCCAAGTGTTGCATAGAAAAGATGAATATGTCACTACCCCTTGGTTGGGCCTGTTCATTTTGCTTCATCATTTTCTCCTCCATGCCCATTCGTTTTACGAATATAGAATGGGCCAACGCTAAAGCCCAAAAACAGGGGAGGAGAGGAATGGAGCATGATCCTCGAACTGAAAAAAAAAAATCTTGTGGCTGCAGCAAACCTGCCTTATCCAGTACTCCAATTGTGGTCGTCCTTACTCGCCACCAGTGCTGATTTCCTTCACCAATTTTCTGCAAAAATTTCCTCCATCTGCCTAATATCTTCACCCTTACAGCTTGAAGCTTTCTAATCTCATCATTTCCCTCTTCCAATGGCTTCCTCCACTCTTTCCCCTGCCACACACTCCCAGGTAAGTGATCAATCATCTTGTCCAACCTTCCCCAAATTTCTCAACTCGCCTCTTCTGCGGAACATTTGGTTGAGTAAGTATGGTTACTAAGTTTTTTGGGTGTTCCATTCCAGCTCTGCTCGAGCAAAAGCGGCATTTTTGCTCCAGCAAATGCTGCCTTGGTGAAGCCGGCGAGAACCCATGTGGCTGGTGGAAGGGACAGAGTGATGAAAGTCTCGTGCCAGGCCACTAGCATCCCAGCCGATCGTGTTCCTGACATGGGTAAAAGGGAGCTGATGAATTTGCTTCTGTTGGGAGCTATCTCTCTCCCCACTGCTGGGATGCTGGTTCCGTATGCCTCTTTCTTCGTCCCCACCGGGTAATGGTCTTTTTCGTCCATTTTTAAGTGTTTGATTTATTGCCCCAGAGAGCTCTACTTTATCTGTCAAACAATTCGATTTGGCTTGTTATCTTGAAGTCGTTTCTTGCTTTGGTGGAGCTGCGTTACCTTATTGGATTGTTGGCAACTTTCTTTGATGTCAATTTTGACAGATTGTTGCTATTGTGTACGAAGCTAGTTGCCTCATGATTATAGAGCTAGAAACTTTTTTCCTTTCATGTCAATTTTGATCAAATTCAATCCTGGGATACGCTGTGTGGATTGGTTAAGGCTTGGGGTAGTTTTTCCTTGTTCCTGTACCTGGCTACTTTCCTTTGTTTGCCTGATTATATTTCGGCTTCCATTTGCTACCACTCATTTGAAAATAATTTCCAACAGAACTGGAGGTGCTGGTGGTGGTACAGTGGCTAAGGATGCTGTTGGAAATGATGTCATTGCTGAAGAATGGCTCAAGACTCATGGCCCTGGAGACCGAACCCTTACTCAAGGATTGAAGGTAAATTTGTCCCCCAGTTTGAGCTCTTCTGCATTCATTACGCACTCAGATTTGTATCAATGATTGCTTTGCTGCTGTTTATAACCAATGGATTCTGCCGTGAATGGATGTGTCACTGCACTGTTGCCTGTATGTTTTGTCTAAGCTCTGTTAACAATCATGCAACTCGATGGTTTTCTTTCTCAGGGAGATCCTACTTACCTTGTGGTGGAGAAAGACAGAACACTTGCAACATATGGTATCAATGCCGTTTGCACGCATCTCGGTTGTGTTGTGCCGTTTAATGCTGCTGAGAACAAGTTCATTTGCCCCTGCCATGGATCTCAGTACAATGATCAAGGCAGAGTGGTTAGAGGACCGGCTCCTTTGGTAACCATCTAGCTGTGTTGACCCTCTTCATCATCCCTCCTCTCTCTACTCAAAATGGTCCTTTACTGACAGCCTTTTTCTTGATTGCAGTCGTTGGCATTGGCTCATGCCGATGTAGATGATGGCAAGGTGGTGTTTGTTCCCTGGGTAGAAACCGATTTCAGAACAGGAGATGCTCCATGGTGGTCTTAGGAGCTTTCTTCTCATATGCAACCTCCTTATGGTTTTAATGCAAAGATGTAGTGATATGAAAGCTGGTAAATTTTGTTTGTCTGTGCTACATGAAAGAGCAAACTCCATGAACTTGAGAGCCCAGCTTGTATGAATACAAGCCGACTCCATATATGTGTGCCGTTACTTGTATCTCATCTGTGTATTTAGAGAAACTTTCCTTCTCTCTTGCATGTTAAATTCCTTCCTGGACTAGCGAAAAGTGGATCATTTGGAAAAGCAGAAAGCGAGGTTGGCCTTCATAAACCGCGAGCCTCGAGTTTAGACAGGTGGCATGAGCCCTCGGAAAATATAGTATGAGATACAAAATTGATAATTTAGCAATGTTGTCAACCCGCGGGTTGACCCGGACCCGGTCGAATTAGTGAGTCAAGGGTTAATGGGTCACCCGGTTTGGCTCGGAAATATAGAGTCATTATATTGTACTTATCCTCATAAATTATATCAAATTTTATCTAACGTATGAGTTATAACATATAATATTACACCAAAATAACATATCGTACTTAGATCCAACATATACAAATGTTCAACTTAGTATTCCAAAGATCGAGTTAGGCGAAAAGAAAAATTGGAAAATAGGCGCATTTCGCAAACTAAAGAAAAAAATGACACAATTCGAAGTGCGATTTTGGTTCAAGCAATAAGAAATTGTGATAGAAATTGGAGTGGTTCGACGTCGAACTTCGGTAATCGTAGTGAAGGACATGAATTAGAAGGTTTTAATGTAGAAATTTTAGAGGTTGGAGTGAAGAATTGGGGAACAATAGTGAGTAGTGACCAACACCAGCTGCTTTTCTTAAGCATATCTTCAACTCTTCCTTGAACAATGGACAAGTTATCAGTAACTCGGCATCTTGATAAGATCGATCCATTCATTCACACCAGTGCAGTTCATCTCATTCCAGGTAGGAATGCACTATATGTGCCTTCCTCTCCTTGCGAGTATCTTCATTTCTTAACCACCTTTCTGCCGTGTAACCATATCCCATCCTCCTAGCCATTCACTTTCGGAAATTAATTATGACAGGTCGAGGTCGAAACAAGATGGTTTCATCTCCTTCGAATAAGGGGATTGCAGTTTCCTCTTCCCTAAAAAAAATTCCTCTGAAAACTAGCAAAGCGGAAACGAAAGAACACGATCAGTTTACGTGGTATCCTCGTTCAGTGTGAACGAGACTAATCCACGGAGAAGGAAACCCTTCTCAGTTTTCTCTTATTCTCTTCGTCGGTCTACAAGTTAGAGAGGAAAAACAAGAACAATATATATATAACCCTAATGCAACATGAACTCTAGGGTTATACGTAGGAACTGTCAAGAACCAGTTGATCCCAATAACTCGAGTTGTTGGGAGAGGTTCAATCGTGAATCATATACCACAACACTAACACGCCCCCTCAAACGAAAGCCACTCACAAGGGTTTGAAGTTTGCACAGGTCTGAAAACAAGAATACCATGTGCTTAACAAATGGTGGTCACCGGGAATCGAACACAAGACCTCTCGGTCACAGAAGGCTCTGATACCATGTCAAGAACCAGTTGATCCCAATAACTCGAGTTGTTGGGAGAGGTTCAATCGTGAATCATATACCACAACACTAACAGGAACCATATGGCAAAAAGACCAAACAGTTCCTACTAATAAAACACGACTCCTTCACCCCCAGCAAGCGGAGCATGCAAGTCACAAATGCCAAGCTTGGAGAGAAGATAATGAAACAGATCACCACCAAGACCCTTCGTGAAAATATCGGCAATCTGATCACGCGAGGACACTTTCGTGGGAAGGATAGTGCGAGACGTAACATGATCCCGATCAAAGTAACAGTCAAGCTCAACATTCTTTGTCCGTTCATGAAACACCGGGTTAGCCGCAATATGCAGCGCAACCTGGTTATCGCAATGAAGGCTGTAGAGTCTGGCTGGGAAACCCCCAGCACACGAAGAAGAGCACGAAGCCAGATAACGTCACTAACGGCACTAGCCATGGCCCGGTACTCAGCCTCAATAGAAGAGCGGGAAACAACCGTCTGCTTCTTAGTGCGCCATGAAATCGGAGCACCACCCAACATAACAAAATAGACAGTAGTAGAACGACGAGTGAGCTGACACCCAGCCCAATCGACATAACAGTAAGAGGTTAACCACAAATCACCCGAAGAGGGTAAGAGAATGCCCTGGCCCGAGGCATTTTTAAAATACCGAAGCACCCGTTCAGCAGCAGCGACATGCACAGGAGTAGGGGAGTGCACAAACCTACTCAAAATGTTGACAGAGTAAACAATGTCAGGGCGAGTGACCGTGAGGTACTACAGACGACCAAACAGCCGATGATAAGCCGACCGATCAACCTCCGCGGAAGAAACAGAATCTCCATCATCAGTCGGAGGAGTCCGGGTGAGTTGGTGATTCTGTTCGACAGGTGTGGAATAGGGACGCCCCCCCCCCCCCCCCCCGTGAGACCTGCATCCTGGAGCAAGTCAAGAGTATACTTTCGTTGACTTAAGAAAATACTCTTCTTTGAACGAGCGACCTCAAGACCCAGAAAATACTTCAGAGGTCCCAGATTCTTGATCCTAAAGTGATCATCCAACGTGGTTTTGACATGCTAAATGAAGTCATCATCATCCCCAGCAAGAACCACATCATCGACATAAATCAACGCAGTGACGAAACTGGTAGTAGTCTTGCGCATGAACATGGAGTAATCAGCCCGAGACCGAGTGAAACCCATGGCGAGAAGAGTAGCAGTAAATTTAGCATACCAGTTGCGAGAAGCCTTCTTCAAACCATATAATGACTTATGCAGCCGACAGAAGCGAGTTTCTCCGGGGGCAGCAAAGCCTTGAGGAATCTTCATGTATACTTCTTCCTCAAGATCACCATGCAAAAACACATTGTTCACATCAAGCTAGGTGAACAAACTAACCATGAACTTCAGCGACAGCAAGCAAGGCTCGAACACTTACTAACTTCGCAACAGGTGCAAACATATCATGATAACCAATGCCTTCAACCTGAGTAAAGCCTTTGGCAACAAGACGTGCCTTATAACGTTCCACAGTCCCGTCCGGATAATATTTAATCTTATACACCCACTTGGGTGTGATAGCCTTCTTTCATGGGGGCAAAGGAACAAGCTACCAAGTGTGATTTGCTTCCAACGCATCCATTTCTCACTGCATAGCCGCCCGCCACTCAATATAACGAATAGCTTGATGGAAATGATTAGGCTCTGGAACCTGAGTCATGGATGCTAAGAAGGCTCGATGAGAAGGGGAGAAAACATGGTACAAACATGCTTCTCAAGAGGATGGGGTATGTTGGACGGAGGTAAATCGGTGTCATACACGTCAAAGTGACGTGGTACGGTACGCTCCCGGAGACTGCGACGCACAACGGCAAGGGGGCTAGTGTCGCTGGCCTCAGCTGTAGCATCTGGTGACTCAGGGAAACTCATAGTGGACGCACCGTCTGAGTCTCGATCATGAAGGTCAGCGACTACCGTCCCATCATCTTCATCAATGTCATCATGAAGATCAGCGATTGCCGTCCCTTCATTTTCATCAATAACAGCGGGGACGACTAGTTGGGAGGAAGGAGGGAGCTGAGAGATCCCGCTGGGTGCCCCAGTGTGAAAAGGAAAAACAGTTTCAACAAACACCATGTCACGACAGGCGTAGAATCGACGGGTAGTGAGATCCCAAAGACGATACCCTTTTTGGCTCGCGGGATAGCCAACAAAGATGGACGGACGCCCGCGTTCTGCAAACTTCGAAAGGCCCTTATGAGTACCCAAAGACCCCAAAGACGCGCAAGTGGCTATATGTAAGAGAACGACCCAAGAGAACCTCATAAGGTGTGCGATTTTGAAGAGTCTTAGACGGGAGCATGTTTATCAAATAAGTAGCAGTAAGGACGGACTCTCCCCCAGAACTATAACGAAAGATTAGCCCGAAACATGAGGGCCCGAGCTGTATTCAGAAGATGTCGATGCTTTCTCTCAACAACCCCATTATGTTGAGGAGTGTCTGTGCATGATGTCTGAAGAAGGATACCGCGATCCTCATAAAATAGGCGTAAATGATTTGTTTGAAACTCCATGCCGTTATCGGGCTATATCCGAGTAACAGGCTTCTGAAAATGAGTCACAGCCATGTTAACAAATTTCTCTAGATACCGTTCTGTCTCAGATTTATACCGCATCAAATAAACCCAAGACGCCCAACTAAAATCATCAACAATCGTAAAAAAATACTGAGCACCACTATGAGAAGGGGTCTTAAAACCACCCCATATATCCACATGAATCACCTCAAAGCAACGAGTGGTCTTGATACTACTTGGAGGAAAGGGTAAACAAGTTTGCTTTGCACGAATAAATGAATCACATGAACTAATCGTGCACTTATTCCGAATAGAATCAAATAAAAAGTTGGTCTTTTTAGCTGGTGGATGCCCCAAATGAGAATGCCAAACTTCATCCATGCGAGAATTCCCCATGGACGCCGGCAAAGCCTTCGATCTGGTGGCATCAAATAACTGGAGGTAATAGAGACCACCTCTTCCCCGTTACCAATCATCTTCCTGGAGCGTAAGTCCTAAACAAAGCAAAAATCGTGCAAAAATATCAAGGCCACATCAAAATCCTGTGTCAATCAGCTGTCTGAGAGAATGTTGCACTTAAAAAAAGGAATGTTCAAAACATGGCTGAGTTTCATCCCTCGTGACAGGCTAACATCACAAATGCGTGTAACCGGTACACTGTCGCCGTTAGGTATTTTAACAGGAAGGTAACCTGTAACATCCTTTGCATTCTCTAAAATATTGGAACCATTTGTAATATAGTCATTGCAACCCGAGTCTATGACCCATTCAGAACTGGACAAGTGCTTACCCGCCATGTTTGCCGCC